AGCTGAGTCCTGAGTGGGAGCTCCCCGCCCCCGCCTTGGTGGAGGCCCTGCAGGCAGCCTTTGAGGACATACCTGAGGTTTGGCAGCCCCGCTGGCCGGCCCCAGGGCTGAATCAGCAGGAGGAGATGCAGGACTTCCCAGGAAAAGCAGCTGGAACGAGCTCCCCCGCCCCCTCCAGCCCACGCCGCCTGTGGGCCCCGAGAGGGTGGGAGGCTCACGTGCGCCTGGCTGTGGCCCAGTGTGCCTGGGGGGCCAGGATTATGGGGGGTTGTGAGGGCTAGAATCGTCCTTACTAGGGCATTCTGGACATCTAGGTGTCAGAGGCCCCCACATGTGGGGAGAAAGCAGGGTGACCGTGGATGTGTCGGTGCCCTGTGCCACCACATGACCCTTCGTCACGGGCCTGCCTGTGGGGGTGCATCTGCCTGTGCGGCTGCGAAGGTGGGACAGTATCCGGCGTGTCCCCTGTGTCCAGCGTGCTGGGCGAGTCGAGCCATGTGCACCTTGGGCGGGTGACTGCATGTGGGGCTGCAAGTGGGAGTGGCGAGCAGCTAAAGGGGTAGCAAGGCTCCGGGAGGGAGTGTCTGACCGGGGAGGATGGGGACAGAGCATGACAAGGACAGTGTGACCTTGGGAGTGATGACAGGGCGCCTGGCTCCATGTGCCATATCCACTGTGCTACACAGTGGCTGTGACTCTGGGTGGGGTCGTGTATGTGCCCCCACATTCATCCCCAAATGTCTGTGCCTGTTGTCCCCTCATCCCTGAGTTCCCACCCTCCTGCCTGCCCAGACCCCCCACCCCCACCCCAGACCCTGGGGCCTGGCCTCAGCTCCTGCCCGGGGAGGGGTCAGCACAGTTGCCTAGACTGCTCTTTCTCTGCCGTCGCCCTGCCTCTGTTTCGACCACGAAAGCCAAGCCTTCCCCCGACCCGACCGAAGCCAGGTCTCCCCGCCAGGCTGGCTCCAGTCTTTGGGGTCTGAGACTGGGTCAGACCCAAGTGCGAGGGCTGATGAGAGAGACAGACAGGGCTGGGGAAGTGGTGGGTGGCCAAGCCAGGTCCACGAGGCCCCGATGGAGGAGCCAGGAACGTTCAGCCAGAACAGGAGGCCGGAGGGGAGGGGGCTCTGGGCGGCCACGTGGAAGGGGGCAGACCCCAGCTCCATAAAGATACATTTTGCCACAAGCTGAACCCTGCACCGACTCCAGGGGAGTCTTTGTTATGAGAAACTGTGCAAACTCCCCCTGCTCTGGCACCTTCTGCAGCTTGCACTCACCTGCCAGAGACAACTCAGGACTCGCACTCCACACTCGGAGCCCTGTTCACCTCCCTGGGTGTCGCCCTCCCACAGCTGCGCTCCATGCCCGCCTCACCTTTTCCTCCGCCGGCCTTCACATCTACCTTCGCAGCTACCTGGAATGCCCTTCCTGCTTTGCTACCTGGCAAACTCCTACACATCCTTCAAGACCCAGTGCCTATGTTCCCTGCTCTGGGAAACATTGTCCTTCTTCCCAGTCCACAGTGTCCCTATTTGCTGTGTGACCCGGGGCAAGGCCGTCCAGCTGTGAGGTGGAGGTGTGTGTGTGAAAATCACCTCCCTGAAAGCCTGTTTTGAGCCCCAAGACAATAAATAAACATTAGATGCTCTTAAAGTACGTTAGACCTTGGGGGAGCAGGGGGAGTGTGCATCCAGTCAGTGCTCAATGTGTGTTCATTTTTATCTTCCTCTTCTGGGGTTCTGTGGTTTTAAGACTCTCTTGTTTTAAACATTGTTCCAAGATTTTTCTCCCACTCACGGTGCTAGGAATTTTAAAACCCCTGGTTCTAAAATTATAAAAGTCTGAAATGCTGTGGGCGGGACCGAGGGACTCCTTGTGCCCTGAGCTGACCCCAGGGTGGCTCAGGAGCCTGGGTCTCTGGGGGGCCTTATGCCCTCCTCTCCCCCTAGGCTGAGGGGTGTGGTCTGGCAGCCCTAGTTGTGGGGAAAGCAATGGGTTTAGCACGAGGCTGAAGGCCAACTTTCCGGCGGAGGTGGGGACTCCTGGCTCAGCTGCTCGAATGGGGTCACAAGGCAGCGGCCAGAGGCACAGGGCTGGCGGCTTAGGGCGATGGCTTTTTTTCTCTTGGAGGATCAGGGTTTTTGTTGTTGTTGCTTTTTAAAATATATTTTTATTGATTTCAGAGAGGAAGGGAGAGGGAAAGTGAGATAGAAACAACAATGATGAGAGAGAGTCATTGATTGGCTGCCTCCTGCATACCCTCTACTGGGGATTGAGCCCGCAATCGGGGCATGTGCCCTTGACCAGAATCAAACCCGGGATCCTTCAGTCCACAGGCCGATGCTCTATCCACTGAGCCAAACCGGTTAGGGAAAGGCTCAGTTTTCTCATCTGGGAACTGGGGCCAGGTGCTGCCCTCTTGATGAGTTGTCAGCAGGATGGGGAGGAGCTGGGGCTGCAGTCCCCGCTTGGGCTGGGCCTTCCGCCTGGTCCACGTCCCTCCAGAAGCCCCTGCTCAGTCCTGGCCCAGCCATGGCAGCTGAGGAAGGGGCTTCAGGATCATGCCCACCCACCTCTGCCCCACCCCAGGGAAGGAGGGACAGACGTCTGCCTCAAACCCGTCTGCCCCAGGCCTGGCATTGGCCACGAACCCAATACTTTCTCAATGAAAGGTATTTGGCTATGGAGCCTGACACCTCATTACCCTTGGCCTGAACGCCAGCTTCGTCTGCTGGCTGCAAAGGGAGCCCCCTCTCACTCCTGCTGCTCCCCAGGACCCCGGCAGGCAGCCCTGAGCAGGCTCTGGAGCAGGCAGACTCAGAGTTTGGTCGTCTTGGGCAGGGGGCCTGCCCATCTGAGTCTCCCCGTCAGCTGGGGGCACGCACACAGTAAGGTGTGGATAAATACACGTCTCCTGGCTCCGGAGGGGCCTCAAAGCTTCTCTCCTCTCCTGTCCATCACAACCCATCCAGTTCAAGGTTGGGCTGCCAGCACCTGGGGTGTCCCAAACCTTGACTCCAGCAGAGCCTCGGGGTCCACCCTCAGAGACTGGGGCTGATGCCCTTGGGTTTGGGCCTTCTCCCTGACATTCCAGACCCCATGTCCACCAACTAGGCAGGGGCACGTGTTCCCACGAAGGGAATGGCCTAAGCCCATGGACGGCAAACTGTGGCTCGCGAGCCACATGCAGCTCTTTGGCCCCTTGAGTGTGGCTCTTCCACAAAATACCACGTGCGGGCGCACACGTACAGTGCGATTAAAACTTCGTGGCCCATGCGCAGAAGTCAGTATTTTGTGGAAGAGCCGGTGTTTTCTGGAAGAGCCACACTCAAGGGGCCAAAGAGCCACATGTGGCTCACGAGCCGCAGTTTGCTGACCACTGGCTAAGCAGAGGCTGGGAGTTGTCAGATGGAGAAGAGCCGGCAGGATGTGTTGGGGTCTGCATGTGAGCCTACCTCCCCAGAGCTAGGCCCTCTCCAAGGCCCTGGTGTTCACACAGATATGACACCTCCAAATGCTGAACAGGCAGATGGTGGGGTGGTCGGGAGCCGGTGTGAGCAGGTAGGTGGCTGAGTGGGTGGGTGGGTGATAGAAGGGGAAAGGGGAGGGTGCAGAAGCCCTGGGCTTCCTTCCATTCCTGCTTCCCCAGGTGACCAGCCAGGCACAATGCCTCCCATGCCAGGTCCTCAGTAATGCCACTTTGATGCCTTCCAGGGGCCAACATCTCCAGGCTGAGGTAGTCTCACTCGTGTGCTCAGGGAGCTGCTGGGTCACCAAGGGAGGTCCCCATCCCTGTGGGATTCACTCCAGGGTCCAGGCAGCCCTTTGCCTCTCCTTTTGGGGGCCTCTGTCTGGAAAGTGGGGATGTGGTCAGAACAGTGCCTGCCCCATGGGGTGCCAGGAGGATTCATCCAGCCATGTGGACAGAATGAGAGCAAGTGATGGTTCTGCCACCTCCAGACTGAGGGTCCCAGTGAGGTCAGAGGGTCCAGGACCATGGCCTTGGACAGCCCAGATACCACTTGGCCAAGGTGTGGGGCCTAGGGTTGGGCAGCTGTGGCCGCGGCTTAGGAAATCCACAGTGGCTTCAATTCCAACCACCTGGGGCATGCAACCCTGTCAGGGCCCCTCCCTGCCCACTGCAGCCGCAGGCACACAGCCAGGCACCGAGGAGGCCAGGGCAGCAGCTACTACTGTGTTCAGCGGTCAGGGCTGCACAGATTCCGGCCACTCACGAGTCAGCTCTGCACACACGTGTCTCAGACACACTTCTGCATGCCTCATCCTGGGGTGTTGGGAGGCACACGCCTATGAGAGGCACATCCAGGGCCTTGTGGGGACACCTGAGCTGTTTGCACATGAATGTCCTTGTGTACTGGGGGTTATGTTTCTGCCAAGCTTGTCTGAGTCTGGCAGCCGTAGCCTCCATCCTTTGCTCCCTGAGAATGACACCGTGAGTTGGAAATGAAGCATCTTTAATTGATTCCCTGCCTCAACCCCCTGAGGGTCTCCAAGCACCAAACATGAGAATTGTGCCCCCCAACCCCAGAACCAAGAAGCCCCTTTCCCAGACCTTCACTGGGCCTGGACTTCCCATACACTCCCATGATCAACCCACAGGCTTTGTTTCAATAAATAACCCCCAGAACAAAGCTTGAGGCAGAGGACCCGATAAAGCACCTTGTTCAGTGACACACAGAGGTCTTGAGGCCGAAGGTCAGAAATCCCAAGGGGCAGAATATTTGAAATCAGAGTCAAAATATAATTGAAATCAGAGCATGTGATCTGGGAGCCATTCCCTCCAGCCTGGACGGTCTCCGGGATGCTGGCTCCCACGGTCAGGACGAACTCGAGCTCCATTTAGCATCTCTCAGCAATAATCACCTTCTTGGCATTTCCACCATTGCCCCTGACTCTGGATTCTGAGCAGTGGGCATCTGGAGAAGGGGGTGAGACTCCCCAGGGACAGAGAAGTCCGGAGCAAGGCAGAGGAGCAAGGCGGGGGCCCAGGTCACTGCCAGGCCCTGCCTTGGAGGGTACGGAGGAGACCCTCAGCTCAGGCCTGTGCCTGGGCCACCTCACTCATCTCCCTGCGGATGTCACCAAGCGCTGTTGCCGGGGACTCCAGCAGCCTCTGGAAGAGGCTGGGCCGACCCGCCACTGGTTCCCGGCACTGGAATGTGACAGCTGTGCCTGCATCAGCCTTCATCTCCCTGGAGAAGCCGTCAGAGGAGCCATCGAAGCAACGGCCAATGGCGATCTCCTTCGCCAGCCTCGGGCTCTGGTCAGTGACCGTGTAGACGCCGTAGTTGTGACCCAGAGGGTCCAGCGGGGCCAGCATGGCAAAGGTGGCTGGGTCATCAGCGGGAGCGGGTGGGGGGTGCCGGGCCAAGTAATCCTGAAGGAGCCCGTTGACGGCCACACGACGACAGCTACCCTGGGGTATGATAGTCACCAGCGTCCTGTCCACCTGTCGCTGGTCGAACAGCATCCCGCTGCACTTGAACTCCAGGCAGGCAGCAGACGTTCCAGGGCGCTGGGGGTCTCTCACGCTGCGGGCATCCCGCAGCCCATAGAGCTGGCCCTGGGTGCGTGGGTGGCTGCCCCCCACGTTGTGGGAGCGGATCATGTACTCCTGCGGGCCTTGAACCTTCACCTTGAGGAAGCAGGCCCGGAACTCCTGTGGGTTGGGCCACCAGGCCAGGAGGTCTCCGGTCCAGGAGGCCGGCGCGCCCTCCCGGAATGGGACCACGTTGTACTCGTACTTGTCGGCCTCCATGCGCGCGAAGCGGAAGTGGCTGGCGGTCACCGGGGCCTCCTGGCACTCCCGCAGGCTGCGCCACGGGTACACCGGGCCTTTGGCTTCGGTGGGGTCGCCAGGCCTGGGTTTGGCGAGGTTGATGCGGAAGCCGTTGCGTTTCAGGGCAGGGTCGTCGTGGTCGGTGCGGCGGTACCCGAGCTTGTCCA